TGGTTGATACAATTACAAAGGTCCCACCAGGCTCAGGTAGGAGGAACACAGGTCCTGCTCTAAATGGATCAGGGCCACACTGTGAGAAGAGCATGTGAAATGGGGTAAAAATTGGGGTGACCATCTTTGGAAACGCAGACTGCTGCAGTGTGTGTGTGTGTGTGTGTGTGTGTGTGTGTGTGTGTGTGTGTTTTCACAGTGTTACCCAATTCAATCCCAGTAGGACTTCTCTGAAATTAATTCCTTTAATGAACCTTAGCTGCTAGCTCATCAGTTGTGAAGACAGGAACCCTGCTCCTCTATCAGGAGGTTGCGATTTACACATTGAAAAAGAGATAAAAAACGTGAGATGTCGCTGTTGTTAGAAAAGAAAACAAGATAATTTTTAACATGTGTCTGTTAAAGTAGCTGTGCTAATTCTCCTTGGTCAAGAAAAACAGTTTAATATGAAAAACATATTTTTTATGAACATTGTGTTTATGGTTTGGGTGAAATACGTTTCTCTAGGTTCTTGATTGGCCTGAAATATTTAAACACACAGGACCTCTTTCCCTGATTTGCATGTGGAGCCAATAGTTTATGAAGCACATTTTAATGACATAAGTCCTGTCGCCATTCACCTAACCTCTCCAAAGCTGGGTGTCCTCCTCTGGAATATGGGAAGACTCAGTACCTGCCTCACACAGCAGGCGTGAGGATCACATGAGTGAATAGATGGGAAGTGCTTGGCATGTTGTAAATGCTAAAATAAAATAAAAGTCACACGCAGGGAGTGTATGGGTGTGTGAATGGTATTCTGCATCTACACATATTCATAGAGTCCCAGCAAAACGGGAATCATTCCCAACAAGGTTCTCAAAAGAGAAAAGACAGGGCGCCTGAAAGCAGGTTGTCCAGCTGTTTCGTTGGGAAGTACATGCCAGATTGCTTGTTAAGTTGATAACTGTTTGTTTTTCCCAGTTTGAAAAAGAAAAACAGCACGATATCCGATCCTTCTTTTTACCAAAACCTAAAAAAAGGAACTCCGTGACCTCCTGTGATGACTCAAAGCTATTCCACGAGAAAAATACTGTAGTGCCACTAGGCCCTGGAAAAATACCTACAAGAGATACCACTGATTTTGAAAACAGTTTTGAACCTGAAGCTAAAAGACAGAAGTCAGTCACCCCTGATGACCGCGGCAGCCCCCCACAGGCGCAGCCGGCCTGGCCCCGGAAAACCACAGCTCTAGCCCAGGCCACCGCCCCGGCCCCTCCCCACGAGGACTGGCAGTGTGGTTTCTGCACCTACATCAACAACGCATTGCTGCCTTACTGTGAAGTGTGTGGGAATCCTCACGGCAGCACTGGTGAGTACATGGGGCCCCGACAGGGGTGTTTCCAGATAGCCTGTGGTTTTTGAGACCACGGCTGCTTCATAGGGCAATGTGACTAGGCACTGCCTTCAGCTTTTAAGCTGGAGGAACAGCTGCACATGTGAAGTGAATGTATCCCCTTGTGGAATGTGGAAAGCTCCTGGCTCCGTCAAGAATGTGGACCCCCAGCGTCTGTGGCCTGGCATTAATTTGGCACAAATGGACGTTTCTGATTAATGCCAGCAGGATGTGAATTCAGTGGGCAGGAATAGAAGCTCTGTTGCTATGGCAGCAAATATGCCTTATAGTCATAGACCTGCTGTTTTCTTTACTCAGAGGATAATACTTGATTTTAAAGAAATTATAGATTATTTTTATTCAAATAACAAAATAACCCAATGTCGCTTCTTTGTCTAGTAAAATATACACTGGGCCATGTTTCTTGCATGACAATCATAGAAATTCCTCTCTAGATCTTTTTAAAGAACCGATTTGATATGTTTTATGAGCTTATTCTTTTTTAAAGCATGCTATTTTAAAAGTAGACATCATAAACATACCTCAGAGTATGTTTTCATAGCATGAGATGACATTTCCTGATGCTTTGCTTTTGGAATGATTATTCATACCAGGTTGTCTTAAGAAAAAGAACACTTGTATGCCTTTGTTGCCAGTTCTCCTGGGTGAGAGGTCATTTTTTATGGTAACTTAAAGTGCCAAGTTGACAGTTTTGGAACCTGGAAGAAGTCATTTTGTTTCATCAAGTGTAATAATCGTTCACATCTACTTTTCCATCATATGTGGATTCTTCAGAGTATAACATTAACAAAGACGAAGCTAAGTTGAAGCTGAAACTGCAGTTCCTTCTTGCCTGCCATGCTTCCCTCCGTCTTAGCTTTGATTTGAGAGAAAGTGTAATCAGTAGCTGAGTCTTTCCTCTTTCAATTCTGGGTGTTCCTACCCAAACTGACAAGGCTGCCATCTGGGTGGTTATATTTGTAACGTGGACACCTGTTGTCTGCGAACTAAATTGGAACCACAAGCTTATCCCATATCATCTCTCTCACAATTTGCATTACCTCATTCAATTTCCAACTGCTACAGGCAATAAAAATAAAGTATCTTGTGACTACAAAGTAATGTCAGTTCACATTAAGTATGTAAGTTGAGTGATTTAGCAACAAAAATTATACTTTAATAGGGTTTTATAGTTCTGATTTCTCTTTGTGATGATACCAAGAGCAACAACGAACGTTTCTAGACCCATGATTTAATAAGCAAACTCCCAAGCAATCCAAACAAAAACAAAATATCTTTTGTGAACAAGCAACTATCTGTTCAAAGAGAAACATATATTCTACATAACAATGATATTACTGTATATAAAAGTTATTATTAGGTTTATGTTACTGTAATTTGGCATAGTGATTTCCAATCTTAATTTGGATATACCCCAAAAGTATTGAAACACAGAATTATTTCTAATCCATCTAAATTTTTAAGTCCTTGCCTGCCATATAACCCTTTGAGGGAATGGTAGAATCCAAAAATCAAAGGAGCTGTGTTAGGATATTACATTCCTGTAGAGGTTGCTAATGCAGATTCTAGCACATTAGATGAGATTTG